TCATTCACTACTTCTTTGGAATGAATACTAGGACACATTATAGGATAATGTTTCCTTTTACAATTAGAACATGACAAATGAGCTCTACAATTCTTAATACGGTGACCAGGCTGCAAGCAAAGGAAACAGCACCTCTTTTCCTTTAAAGTGGACACCTTATGAGACAATGGCAATTTCTGAGCAGCAAAACAGTTACTACTCTTATGATTCTTATCACAAAAGACACACTTTGTATAAGAGTTTTGAGTTTTACCAGAGGACATGAGGCATGAAGCTGTTGGTATGTCTATCTTACCTGGTTGAGTTTGAGGTGACCTTTTAAAAGATTTCTCCTTCCCAGAGCTACTTATCCCAAAACCTGCCATGGCTAGACCGATTCTCTGTTCCCCTTCAACTTCAGACAACATAAACTTCATTAAATTGTTGAGTCTTTCCTGAGGGTCTGTACCTACTTTCAAAGGGCTTCTTTGCCACGCCCTTAAGAGATCTTCAGGCATACAACTTTCAACTAACGGGTATAACATGGAGGAACATTTATCTGTTGTAACTCCCAAGGTATCTAATGCACGCATACGAGACTCAAGTTTGTCATATAAACTTTGTAAGTTCATTGTGTTCTTGCCTCCTAGAGCATTTTGTAAAACAATTTTCAAGAGTTCCCTGACATAAACCTCTACCAATAGGTCATCTTTACCAAATCTGGCTTTCAAACATTCAATTGCTTTTGGATAGTTTGCACCAGTTGGAGGAAAACTCTGAACTACATCAAAAGCTCTTGATCCGGTAACTATGGATTGCAATAAATATTGAAACTTATCTTCTGAATCAATGTCTGAGTCACTATGAATTTTGCTAAACTGACTCCAGAAAGGTAGCCAATTGATCAATTCTCCATCAAACTTTTTGATCTCAATTTTAGGGAGCTTAAATTTCTTCTTACTAGCATTGTTACAGCAAGATCCAGAATGAGCACTAACTACATCGTTACTTTGTTGTAGTAAATTCTGGACTCTTAATCTTACAGCTTCAAACAAAGCTAAATATTCTCCAGCTAAGATTGTTTCAGCTAACAGCTTATCTTCAGAAACATTATCATTATTCAATAACAAATCAAAGATCTGAGAATTCAAAACCTGGAGTTCATCAACCTTTATCTCCAAAAGCTTTAGAGTGGTTTGAATTTCAATTTTGTCTGTGGTTTCATTTTCAACTAAACTGTTTAGTTTGTTCAATGTTTTAGAAAAATAAGCCCTATATACTGTTCTATTTTTCTTTAGATTTTCCATCATAGAGATAGGTGAAAAACAAGTCCTGTCACGGTCGCCAAATGTTGTTTTACACTACACACCTACCTTCTTAAAGTGATGAAAACTATAAAGATAAAATTAGAAAAAAACTAGACTTTTTAAAACCACACTTCTATTTTCAACAACTCATATAAAACTATTATGACAACAACAAAACAAAACCATATGACAATTTAAATTAGTCAAAAGTAAATATGCATCAAATCACAGACTAGGAGATATAACACTTGTATATAGGTGACTACCAACCAAAATACTTAAAACTAGACAAACCACCATAGGTTTTGAATTATTTTAACCATGAACCCATTGCAATCCCATAACCAAACTTGGTGTACACATTACTGATAACATGAACAACTTTATATATTTTTTAGAAAATAATCAAATATACGTTTTTCAAAATATTTGATTTTAAAAATTTATTTTTGAATTTGAAAAAAATTTTGTTGTCATAACCTATTATGTGTTGTATATCATTAGAAAGGGCATAAAAAGAGCTAAAAAATTACACCTTTACAGGAGACAAGTTATGACTATTTAGAAGTTTTACCGCAGCGCGATTTTGACCGTTTTTTGAAAACTTTAAATGGCCGTATTTTGGAAACTGTTTGAGATATTGATCTGAAATTTGGTATTTTTTTAAGTTTTCATAAAGGTAACCTATGTACCAAATTTCATCAAAATCTAAGATGGCAAGGTAAATAATATGTTGAAAGTGTGTTGATTTGATATGGACTGACCCCAAAGCCAGAACAACTATTAAAAAAAAGGAGTACGACCAGCATTTGAAAATGCTTCGGAAAGAAAACAACACAGCCCACATAAACCAGGCTGAAAACAAGTCTAAAGCACTGTGGCAAACAATAAACCGAGAAAGGGAAGCAAGATCAAATACTGAAAACCAAATCCATCTTCAAGTCAACAATAAAACAATAGACGACCCAATAGAAGTTTGAAACTGTTTTAATGATTTTTTCTCATCAATAGCCGACCGAACACTCCAAAATAACAATAACTCTTGAACCAATGCCTTAAACAGACCACTTACCAGCAACACATCACACACTCCAGTTCAGACGGGTCACACAAGAAGAAGTGCAAAAGGCCATTCAATCTCTAAAGATGAAAAATTCATCCGGAACTGATGAGGTATCAGCTAAACTTCTAAAAAACTGTAAAAATGAAATAATAATACCCCTGACAGACCTTATAAATAAATCACTCTCACAAGGAAAATTCCCAGATAAATTAAAAATAGCTAGTCTACCCAAAATACAAAAATGGACCAACGATAGAAAGAAACAGCTACAGGCCAATCTCCCTAATATCAACGTTTTCAAAAATAATCGAAAAGATAGTACTAGCCCAACTCCTAAACCATCTTCAAGAACACAACCTTCTCAATAGTCAACAGCATGGATTTATCAAAGGCAGATCGACAGCCACAGCCTTAATACAACTGACGGAGCACATACTAGACCAACTAGAAGAAGGCAGCACTTCAACAAGCCTCTTCCTAGATTTTAGTAAAGCTTTCGACTGCCTAAACCACGAACTTCTTCTACTCAAGCTGGAAATACTAGGTGTGAGAGGAAGAGCAGCAGAATGGTTTAAAAGCTACATTAGTAACCGGAAACAGCTTGTGGAAATAGCCTACATAAAGAACAACACAAAGTATAAGGCCCAATCCAAAGCTGTAGACGTGCAAAGAGGAGTACCCCAAGGATCAGTACTTGGCCCAGTCCTCTTCCTCCTTCTCACGAATGACCTACCTAGTTGGATTGGGGAAGATGGACACACCACCATGTACGCAGATGACACGGTTCTCACATTTGCGGACAAAACAATGGAAAATCTGGAAGAGAAAACCAACACACAACTCCAGAGAACAAAGCAATACTGTACCTCCAACGACCTAGTTCTAAACGAAAGCAAAACCGTTCAAATGACTTTCACCACTAAACGCAACAACACAGACATTACAATACCGGGACTACAAACACAAAATACCTAGGCATCATAATTGACTCCAAGCTATCATGGAAACCCCACATAGACCAGCTCTGCAAAAAGCTAAGTTCAAGTCTCTACTTTATACGTAGGATCAAGCAAGCTTGCAGCCCAGAAGTAGCCAAAGTTGCATATTTTGCTCTATTCGAGTCCCACCTCAGATATGGCATTGCGACTTGGGGTGGAACATCAAAAGGCAACATGGAAAGAGTACTCCTAAAGCAAAAAAGAGCAATTAGATGCCTTGCCGACCTGAACTACAGAGACAGTTGCCGAGAAGCCTTCAAGAACCTTAAAATTCTCACATCAATTTCACTCTACATAAGAGAAGTCATTATCCACACCACTAAAACAGCCCAGCCAAGACACAGAGACATACACCAGCACAACACACGACATGCCGCCAATTTTTCCCTCCCACAACACCATCTGAGTCTGTACGAGAAGAAACCATCCTACAAAGGTGCTCTGTACTTTAACAACCTACCAGAGCACCTCAAGAGAGAACAACCCAATCTGCTCAAGAAGCACCTGACAACATGGCTTTTGGACCGGCCGTTCTACTCTGAGGATGAATTCTTAAACAATAAGCTACCATGAAAAAAAGAAGAAAAAAAAGAAGAAAAAAATTCTAATTGTAATTGCAAATTACTGTAATACTTTACGTACATACTGTACATTTTATGTACCTGACGCATGAATGTTCCCTAGGAATATTTCAATAAAGATTTTGTCTATTGTCTATTGTCTACGTAATAGTGTAAAAAATCAACAGCCCTATACGCAAAACGTTTAAAACCTGGGACTTGAACATACAAATATGACAGTGTTTTACTGTCATATTTCTTCGGTCATATTGCTTCATATTGCTTCGGTTGAGGCCGTCGCGTCGTACTAAAAGCCTGACTCAAGTTGTGTGATACTTTTTCAACAATTCTTATTCTTTGTAGTAATACAGTTAGTAACTTTCGTACCTAAGGCCGAACACAAAGTTTTGCTAGCTCGAGATGATTTTTAAGTTCGATACCGATACGAAGTCGAATACATAGGCTAATTGAGAAAATGTATACAATAAATGCACACTTAGGCCCGGTTTCCCCAACTCATTTAAACCTAGTTTTAAGTTAAACGGCGATTTAAACTTAGTTTAACTTTGATTTGGGTTTCTCCAAATTTAAACTAGGTATTAATCTAAGTTTAAACTAAACCACCTCTCAACTTGGTTTAACTACTGGGGATAAAATAAACTGAGTTCAAATTAAAATTACAACAATAACATAACCTCAAATAATTCCAAAACAAATAGTAGGTGTTAAAACAGTAATAGTTGAATCAACTACTATAAATTCATTCAGAGGAAAATAGGCTTTGCTTAGGGCTAACTTATATTGTGAAGGCCTAATTAAGTTAAGTTTTATTTGTATTTTAATTTATTGTGTTTATTAAGTTCTTTTATTTGTACATTTAATTTTTTTTCAAGTTAGGCTAAGTTACTAATTACAGTATTTTCCCCTATATCTGGGTAAACTGAAATGGAAGAGTTGATTGCCATTTTTGAGGAAGTAGATGATGGAGATTTTGAAACTATAATACCCCGAACAAGAGGGCCTACAACAATCAGAGAGAGAATTGACCATTTTCATAAATGGAACGAATCGGAGTTTTTTTGAAAGATTCAGGATGCGGAAGGAAACAGCGAGCATAGTTTTGAGCCTGATCAGAGAGAGGTTGACTACTAGGACCGACAAAAACCGCGCTGTGACTCCAGAAGAAAAGTTTCTCTGCACTTTAAGGTTCTATGCTTCTGACAGCTTCTTTATCAACATAGGTGAGTTGAGTGGGCTACACAAGTCAACTGTTAGTAAAATTATAAATGAAGTGTCAGTTGCAATCGCATGTTTATGCCCTCAATTCATCAAAATGGCTACGACTGAAGAAGATATCAAAAGAGTGAAAAGCGGGTTTTACAGTAAGGCGCGGTTCCCTAACTGTGTTGGTGCAATCGATTGCACACATGTCAAGATTCATTCGCCTGGAGGCCCTCAAGCTGAAGTCTACCGCAACAGAAAAGGCGTGTTTACTAAAAACGTACAAGCAATTTGTGACTCCACTCTGATGTTCAGGAACATCGTTGCTCGCTGGCCTGGCAACACACATGATGCACATATTTTCAATTCATCAAAAGTAAAGCGGGATTTCGAAAGCAATGAGTTTGGAAATGGAGTTTTGGTGGGAGATGCTGGATACGGGTGTACGAACTACATGATCACCCCTCTGGACAGTGTTACAACTCCAGAAGAGCAATTATTCCAAGAATCCCAAATCAGAACCAGAAATCCCATCGAACGATGCTTCGGAGTATGGAAATGGCGTTTCCCTGTTCTTTCCCTAGGGATTCGAGTGAAGGAAGAAAGGGTTGAAAGCATAATTGTTGCTGCAGCTGTTTTGCACAATGTCTGTATTTCTGAAAACGAAGCTGTCCCCCCTGTGAATGACGAAGTAGAGGCAGCAATTGCGGCCTTAGAAACACTAACTCCTCAAGTAGGCAGAGTTGGCCAACAAACCCCAAGAAATTTCCCAGATCAGAACAATATTGTAAGGAACAACCTTATTAACAGATATTTTAGAAGTTTGCTGTAAATAAGCCAGTATCAATGTTTTTTTGTGAAATCCATTTATTAGGCTAAATGTTTATTTTTTGTGTTCAAATATTTTCAATTTGTTGGCCATTTATAGGCCAGTAGGCCGTGTTAGGTTGTGTTGTATCTTGGTAACCAACTAGACTAAAAAAAATCCCTACCCTTGAGTTGTATAAAATCCAATTTGTAGATTTTAGGATGCAGCCTATATTGTATTTTTAAGTTGAAACACTGCTGACTAACCAAATCCAAGCGTGAACCTTTAATCATTAGGCTAATCAAAATTAAAGATTAATAATAATTAATCAAATACTACTGCACTATGTTGAGGTTTGACGGCTGTAAGATTAAATAACATATCATAATAATAACTGAAATTTATTAAATAATGAACTTAATCATGCAATCACAATTTATACAAAAGTATACACCATAATAGAGAGGAATAAATCAGCTATAGGTCACAACAAATGTTATAAATCACAGAAATAATTATTACAAGTCATAAAATGTTGTGATAGTGTTTAGCAACCTAAATTATTTAATTATTGCACAGATAATGATACAAGACCCTAGTCATCAATTTGAATCACAAGGGGACATTTACTTATAACTAAATATTGCAAGGGCGATTCTGAATCGGAATAAAATTAGATTGAATAAGGTAGATATCTATGGCCTATGCGGCATAATTGTTAAAAACTGGTGTAAAGCCAAAAATTAACAAGAATGTCTATGGGTCAAAGATTTAGCTGACCCTAAACATTATCCTAAAATACACATCATCACAAATGAATCAATAGATTGTACATGTAAAGTACAACTATTTTTATTACGGGCATAGAATCATTTGAAAGTCGGTAGGCTCGTAACGGTTAAAATTTAAAGTCCAGAATTAAAGTCAAATTGTTTTATACAGTCTATTGATGTAACGCTAGATCGAAATATTAAATTATTTGGCCAAGCTGGATTTTAATTAGCCTATTTTGGTAAAAGCTCAGTTCTTGGAGTTGTTTTGAAATATTCATGAGGTTAATTAAATAAGTAGATAGCACCTGAGTACTGAAATTTGGAGGGTAGAAGCATTGTAGCCTCAGTAGCTAACGGTGGGACGCAGCAGTTAAGTTGGCACATCAGCAGAGGTTAGATTAGGTCCCGGATGACGCTTGGAGGTTGCACGACATTGTCAGTGTTGAACCCTTGTAGTAGGCTAGGTCTAGAAGTTCACATTCTCGTAGCAGTAGGTCAAGGTAGGAGCACTGGGCCTTGGACCACCATCCTATGCATTCTTCTTTTTGTACAAAACTTAACTGTAGAACATCTTAAATGGCGCAGTAGGTTGATGGAAAATGAGGCCTAACTTTCCGTTTCTGTCCCTTTTATAAAGTTTTTGGTCAGCCTTCTAGAAACTTCTATCCAGGCATTCAGCGTACTACACAGTGTACAGTTCGGCCAAAGTTTCTGTGCAGATCTGTTCCAGATCTGTTCGGGTCCAGGCAAGGGGGTTGGTGGGGATACTTTTGTAAAAACATTTCTGTCTTGCTACTCACTCATCACTAGCGTCTCATTTTCTTGGTCCGGAATGGATGAGAACCTTTTCTGCGAAGGAGTGGGGAATCGAGTGGGGAGAGCCCCTCACGTCGATTTAAGAAAAATGTTATATCTTATATCTAAACTATATTTTATAGTTTTTTAGCTATAAAACTAACTTTTTAATTATAAGGTAAACTTTTTAATCATAAAATTATTTTACAATGTTTAATTATAAAACTAAACTGTCATAACCTAACCCAACCAACCAAACTTAGTGATAATATAAAAAAGATATTTAGATAAAAATTGAATGAAGGTTTATTAATTAAAAAAAAATAGTTCTGTTCATCAATAAAATTATAAATGCCTCAAATTCTAACAAAAGATGTAGGCTACAGCTAAGCAGTATACACATTCAAGCAAAATGTTTAAAAAAAAAGCCTCTAGGACACCAGTCCGAGACGCTATCAACTACGCCACGAACGCCAATCCTAATACATCGTCTCGTTATGGTAATGGTGTTCCCTCAAGAGAAAAGTGACTCCAACGCTAAAGAGGTTCTCATCCGTTGCTGGCTAGGAAAACGAGAAATAACTATAATGTAATTTGACAATGCCTATTCCTATGTACAACTTGGTCAATGGCAATAAACATTCTTATTCTAACTCACTCACCCCTACCTTCAGCACTGCCAATAACCAGTAGCTGTATGTTTTAGTTTGTCTAGTAGAGACCCATCCGCGCGCACAGAAGTTTTGGCCAAACTGTACCATCTGTCAACTTAGCCGTGACAAAATTTCTCAGTCCTGGCAACTGACATGGCTCAATCTAGGCCTAGGCCTACTTAAATTCATTATATAACACTGTTAAGCTCTATTCATTGTAATAACTGTTCAATTTCCAAATGAAGTTATGAAAGTCTTCTATTTTGAATTGTGTGATTTACTTACTCAAAACGCAAATGACACACAGAACATTTCAGAAATAAAAAGTACAATATATTTTGAAATTATTTAAAAGTGTAAAAAAAAAACATTGTCTTTACCAGTAATAATAATAATAATGGTGCAGAATGTAATACCAAACACCAAGAAGCATAATGCTGTTTTTTCTACAATCGAACACATGAATAATTTAGTTATTTTTTAAAAGAGCCAATTCCGTTGCCTGTTTTTTGATTTTCAAATTTAAAAGTGTCATTTTTTTTTTGGTGCTCCTCTTCCAAATGCCTTAATTTAGCCTCATGCTCGTCTTCCAAAAATTGAATTTGTTTTGAGTACAAAGTCTTTTGAAGCTCAAGAACTTCTTTTTTGACGTTACTGATAGCTTCAACCTTCTTCCCAGCTACCGAGGCATCCAATACGGATTTCTTCTTTCTAAAAAAAAAAAAAAAATAGAAAAATTAACCTTATTACATTGAATATTTTTGGTACGGTAATTTAATTCCACAATAATTGGGCGACTGACAAAAATTGTAATATTGTGGAAAGTTTGCCATTGTTTAACTTACAATCCAGAGTTGGTACTTTCAAATTAGTTAAGTTCCTGATAATGACAAACAAAATAGGCTACTATTTACAAAATATTTGACCTTTTTATCAACTCATGAAAAAAGTACGTTATATCGGACGAATAACTTTTTCTTTATGATAATGGTAGGCTAATATTGTTTATGGTAATGCAGTTTTTCTGCGGAACTATACCTCAAAATGAAATAAAATTTATGTTACAGTCGAGTTAAGTGGCTTAAATTTTGTACTAAAATACAAGTGAAATAAGCAATTGATTTTAATAATGCCACTGCAGATCGCTTGCGGAGCTAAGTTAAGTTAGGTTGCTGTACATTGTTATATTTTAGTAGGTATATTTAGTTACTGTAATCAGATAAGCTTATCATATATAATAACCTACATTAACCTAACCTATCCTAACCCCGCAGAGCGCTGTATTGTGGTATTCCTAATATCGTGGCCTCCGCATAATCAATAACTACCAACTTAGGCCAACCTTTGAACTGCCAATGGCGTGGAGGATGTCTTGCGAAGATCTCGCATGTTAAAGGGTTTAATATTAGCCCTAAACTGCTCCATCGGCTTGTCAGTTTCTTCCTCTTCAAACTCAACATATTCTTCAGTAGGCCTATCTTTCACAATTGGCAATGCAGGTTTTGGCAGACCTATCCCTACTAGCCCGCCAAAAACCTTTTTGGTGGTAACATCAGCATTAGAACACTGATGCTGCTCCATCGAACTTTCATTTTCATCTTCATTCAGCATTTCTAACTCCAGCATGACTGGCAAGTGTTCAATGTCCATTTCGGTCTGTTCAGATGCTTTGTCCAAGGGGTTAGCATCAGAGTCGAACTGGGAACTTCCCCCAAACACGACTAGATCCCCTAATAATTCCTTAACTTTTAAGTCGGTGTCGGTTATCTCAACCTTTATTGGGGGTCCACCTCCAGTACCCATCGTGTTTCTCATCGGCAAATTTTCTTTTAGTGGTTTTTTTAAGGTTTTTATACTTGTTTTTTAATGCTTTCGAGTCTCTGAAATAAACACCACTGGCTTCATTAAATTCAGCTTGTACGCGGTCCCATACAATGTCTTTGTCCCTATTGGACACATGGTCAGTCTTCTTGCACTCCAAAATGTCCCGATGACTTTTTACTAAATCCAAAAGTAATCTGATTTCACATTCTTTAAAATTTTTGCTTCTATCCCTATTCTTTTCCATCCTAGTTCAAAATCCACAAACTTTTAACTAGCCTAGAATAAGTTAACACTGATCAATTTCCTAAACTAAATTTAGAAATAAATACTGGATTTTTAAAAAGAAACTAAGATAATAGTAAGTAAAATAAAGAACTAGCAATTAACAAATTTAATACAAGAACTTAACGCCTGATGATAAAAAATAAACAGAACCTATTGTAACACTAGGCTTGTAGATTAGAATACGTATCAAGAACTCGAATGACGCCACGATATCGTTAGCACAGGATGTCCGTGGTCTATTGTTGGCTGCCATTTGCTTTGCCTTCTGAATTTGATAATTACAAAATAATAATTCTTCTTGTTATAAAAGAAAACCAACTTGATAACATAACCTTAAACAATGATGTTATTCTAGCTGCATTCACACTTTGATCGTCTGCTCTCTGCTCTACTGAGTTGTAGCGTAGCATAGCGAGCGTTTTAAGAAACACTAGCCCAAAGCCCACCGAAGATTGCTTACAAATACACATTCAGGATTGCCAACCGCTTGAATTGCCGTTTATCTTAAACGAAGCCAGTAAAATGTTGGAGAAACCGAACACACATTTTAAACGGAGTTTAAAAATAAACTAGTTTATTATAAACGAAGTTTAAGCCATTTTGGGGAAACCGGGCCTAATAGTCAACAAAACTAAACTTTGAGGCTATGTGAAGAAATATTTAATGAAATCAGCAGAATAAATAATTAGTTGCT